TTCATGGATTTTTTTTCACATTCTATCTCTCACAGTTGAAGTGTACCTCTGGTGCAAATTACTGACCTCTGTCATCATTTTAAGTGGGGGAACTGCACAATCGGTGGCTGACTAAATACTTTTTTGCCCCACTGTACGCTATGATTGCCTAATATCTGTTGATTGGAGACATTGGTCACTTTGTCACCAGAATTATGTCAAGGTACTGTGGACCAACACTTGACAATGTTGATTTTACGCTTGACTAATAGAAGCCTAATTAATCAGCCATAACTGATGAATTGTGCTTCTTACAGTATTTGAAGATCATCATATACGTTTGTGGAAAAAAGTGAAAAAGAAAATTTAAAAAGGGAGCAAAAGCAGGTTTTTAAAAGTATATTGTGTGTTCCCTTTAGTTTGTTTAATGTTTACTTTGTACTTGAGATGAGCTCCCTCAAGATGAAATGACTTGTGTAACCTGTATAGGGCTTATGTAGCACCTCTCAACTCGCCTAACTGTCTTTCTGTTGCACCTGTTCACACAGTACTTCATGCATCAGCGGCACTGAAACTCCCACAAGGTTCTTGGTTGTCATTTGGAGCAACTTTGGGCTCATTCTCATGCCACAGGATAAAAGCCGATGCAACGATTAGATAACAGTTCATTCTTTCAGTGCTTGTGGTGTATTTTATATTTGTGCCCAGTCACGGTGTGCCAGTGATTTATACTGAGACTAAATTAATTGTGCTTGAGGTAAACGAATCAAGAAAAAAAGTCCACCTTGCTGGAAGCCTTTGCAGATAACTTAAACTGAACTCCAGAATATTGTTATCCTTTGCTGCTAATGTTTACTCTGTATATTACAAAGCCCAAGAACCCAATCCAGCTGACTGAACAACCATGGACGTTTAATTGCTGATCTGACTATGTAGGACCTTTGCAGCTTTTTTGGGAAATGCTTAAAGATCAAGGCTGTATTGCATGTATGAAGCTTCTCATGTCCTTGTAGAGAAAACTTCTCTACTTTCTCAGTAAGTTAATGTATTGACAACCATGTTACCTGTGGACAGCATCTGAAGCTGTCAAAATATTGATTTATAGGTTGACTATAGATTTTTGCCCTCACATGACATATAAGAGTGGCAGAATAACATTGTAAAATAACCTTTAACTCCCCCAAATCAAGCTAGTTATTTTAAAGCCAGTGTGGTTTCAAAAAGTAAAAAGCAAATTAGTCATTTAATGG